GACTGGCATAAAAAATTATTTTCTTGAAAATGGAAGAATGTGGGCCCAGCGACATAAATGCTGATATGCTAATAAATCGATAAACTCTAAGAGAATTAATGGAATGATGTTATCTTTTTTATAGGAATTTATTTTCATTCCCTGTTAAATATAGCATCCATTCCTATCATTCCTTTTAAAAACATCATTTATGGCACATTTTTTTATGTCTACGGCTAAACGAATATTTGTGAAACGTGCAACATGGAAGAATCACGAAAACTGCCATGCAGACACATCGTTCGCCTATTGCTAAAGTCTATATGCGACTATTGACTTTGAACAAAGTCAAACCGCAAAAATTTACGAGTGTTAGAGAAAAAATTCAATCAGGGTGTTGGGGTTTCAATTTTTGAATTTAATTGTTAAAAACACTTTGCGTACCACCTATTTTTCTCTTGCGTACGGTTGAAAACCCCTGGCATAGAATGATAAAGATCCTGGATAGTCTCCTGCAGTATTTCTTGCCAAATGTGCTCCAATTGTCGAGCTAGGTCTTCAATATTCCCTGGTAGATGCAGTCGCCTTTCCATCATATCCCAGACATGCTCGATGGGAGACAGATCTGGATTGCCAAGGAAGTGTTTGACAAGCTGTAAGACAGTTCATAGAAGCACGTGCCCTATGAGATCTTGCTGAAAAATAAGGCCAGGGTACTGCAAAAGGAACGGTAGCAAAACAGGTCTCAGAATGTCGTCGACGTATCGCTGTGCTGTAAGTGTGCCTCTAATGACGACCAAAGGGGGTCAGGCTATTAAGTGAAATGGCACCCCGAATCATAACTCCTGGCTGAGGGCCAGTGTGGTGTGCAATAGTGAAAGCAGGTTCGGCATGCTGCTCAGGGCGTCTCCAGGTACGTCTTCGGTTATCGTCACGACACCGCTGAAAGCGGGATTCACTGCTAAAGACTATATGTATCCAGTCAGCATCATTCCAACCTGACCAAGCCAAACACCACTGTAATCTGGCTCCAGAGTGTGCAGGCGTGAGTGGCAGATGGCGTAACTGTTGGTACGAGCGTAGATTTCGCTCTATCAGGCGTCTGTGAATGGTGATGGTGGACACTCAAGTGCGGATCGCATGTCTGATAATTGATAGCGATGAATCAGGCGCTGTGACAGCTGATCTGAGAATCACTCTGTCCTTCCGATCTGTTGTGGTCCTAGGTCGACCGCTACTGTCATGACGCTGAAAACTGCCATTGTCCACCCATGCTTGCCAGCATCTTCTAATCGCCGTATCGCTTCGACTAACATGACGAGAGATTCTCCGATTTTCCCAACCTGCCTCTTTCAATTTAATGATATGACCTCTTTCAAACTCTGACGGTTGCTCGTAATAAGCTCGAATCCTGCGGCGAGGCATTTTTCAGTCGTTCAAAGTTATCCTAAATCGCAATGCAGCAGAAATTTTAACAACAGTTCAAGAATAGCTCCTTATATACATCTGCTGGCTGCGTAGTTACGATGCGACTATTCATTCATTGGACAGCAACTTTAATCATTTGCATATTTGATCAAAACTTTTACGCATACGAAATTTCAAAACAATCGAATGATTCCTTCTTGGTGCGTCGAATTTTTTTTTTTTTTTTTTTTTTTTTTTTTTTTTTGTTATACAGTGTATTTTAGAGAAACAAATTTCTCGTTTTTTTATCACTTAAGGGTCCCTAACCAAAACAGTTTCGCAGGAATAGATGTCCCAACTAGCTACGCGGGACGTAAAGTTTATGTCTCTTATAAATATAAGCAAAATATAAATAAATGGATAAATTTAACTATATATATTTTTACTAAGCGTACAACCTACAATGTGGATGGTAGGCATAAAAAGGTTGACTACCCCTGCTATAACGGCTTGATTATTTTCATGAAACAAAACGAAACGCAAAAGCAAAAGCCGTTCTGCGACATTTTCAACAATTTGCTAGAATGACAAAGCGCGATGATCACTTCCTTCGGTCATGATTTTGCACAAATGTGATCGTTGCTAGTTACTGATTAAAAACTGATTAAAAATGGATTAAAAATGGATTAAAATTAATCTCAGAAGTTCTTCATTCATTCCGCTTTGAAATCATTTGATTACTTTATTTTATGTTGCTCTCGCAATTGCAATAATATCAGTTGAAAGCCAGACATAAATTTATACGCTTAACATTATATTATTACTTTGCATTAATCAAGGAAAAGTTTATTTCTATTTACTTTAACTTTTCTATTAATTCGTTAAGAAATACAAGTTCTGATAGGAATATAGTAATAACTTCATGCACGAAACTGGTATAGCAAAATAATTTTACATCTCCCCGAAAGGGTTGCATTTTTTCAGGTTGCAGTGATCTTTATTTCTGCTTATATTAGAAGGAGATCAATTTTTAGTTTTATCATTCATTAACCATTATTTTAGCATTCCTCGCTTGCATTTAACCCTACCAGCGGCCGAATGGTTAAGACCCCTGATAATTGGTGGTTCTATCTGACATGAATTTGGACCTAGGGGAACAGGTTGGCTGCATGATTGATTTTCATGGTTTTTTATCATGTGTAACATAAATACGTCCAAGGTTCCCTCAGAAAATCCTCCACGAACACGAAAACATTCCTCCTCTTAAGCAGATAGCCCTCGTGGCTTTACCATATTCAAATAACCTAACCTAAGTGCACTTAGCATTTATTGCAATTCTAGATTTAACGCCATAATTTTCAGATTTATCAGAGATATAATAAATGTTAGATTCTTGGCTATAAATCTAGCAATCTAAATGTTTTTACATCTCCGATAAATACGAAATTATGACCATAATTCATTGAAATTCATCATTCATCCATAGAAATGTTAATTTATCCATAGTTATGTCTGCCATGCCGAAATATAATTTCAACTTTCATTTACCATTTTTATTTTAAATAGTTCCCCTTCTCATTAGCAAGCATGTATTCTAGCAGTTCAATATAATATTAACAGTATATTATTTTTAAGCATTTCAAAACCTGTTACAAATAACTTTTCTATGCTAAAATGACATAATATGATAAATCTTATTCTTGTATACTTGCATGAGAAATGTTCTTATATATGTGTTACTACCATATCAAGTGAAATTTAAGAAAGTTACCAAGTAAAGAAAGCGAAATATGCTTTAAACTTCTATAACCATAGAAGAAAATTCTTTCCATTTATATTAATTGTATTTTCAAATATATCGGTAATCAATTCAATAATTTATAGTTGTATAAATATTTAATTATGCGTAACTGTAGGCAGAACAGGACGGGTGCAAGTGGACAGAAAACCAGGACTTCTGTGTTAGGTATACCAAACAAACTTGTAGATTTAACGGAAATTGGATTTAACTATTGGATTTAACTGGAAATCTTGCGTTTTATATGATAGGATTGTGACATGAAGTATATTATTATGCTTTTTACAAATGCGAAGTATCATGGGTAATAAAGTAAATTTAACTATCCTTAATTATTTCTGGGACTCAGCATAAAATAATTGGTTTGCTATTTCTGGTTTCATAGTTTAATCTTTTTCATTTCAGATAGCTTCTGCACCAATTTGATGATCGTATCTCGAATCTGCTTTTTACTCATCATGAATCGTGTTATGGCATGAATAGAACGTTTTAGTTGGGAAGGAAAATATAGAAGGAAATTGTTATTGTGGTTAAGAATTATGCCAGGGGAAATGGCGTTTAATTAAAAAGCATCTTAAATAACTAAATTAATTAAACCATAAAACTGTCATTTTATAATTCAAAAATTTGACATTTTACTGTTGGACACTGAAACTAATAATGGATAAATACACATCTCCTTTGACAATGTGCTTGCCCTCCATTAATTCTTAAGTTCGGATCTGTTCAATTTATGTCCTACTTACAGTATATTATGTTCTAAGATTTATTTAAATTAAATTTTCTTTTAATCTTTATGTGTAACTTCCATTTCTTCCTTCTAGGTCACCAGAATTCAAACTAATTTAAGTTTAAATAAAGAAATTTATAATTTCAAGGTAGTACTATGTCAATCACCCAAAATAGTTGTTTGGCAGAAGACGAGGGCCACCCACGTAACTAAATGACAGTGCTTACTTAGCTCCTTGTGAATTTAGCTATTTCTGTTTACTGAATTTGAGTTAACGTTAAAAAATATAGTTAAATAATTAAGCAAATGAAAGCCTATCATTACAGTTGAATTTCAAGTGCCTCTCTATTGCTAATTTTAATAAACCTCTCAGGTATGTTATTCTAGTTAGATAGATTACTGTTTATTTTGCATAGATGATTTTTTTTAATTAAAGAGGTTTAACTAAGTGTCACTAGATAGCTAACTAGTTTAACTTTACAACATCACGAATTTTAACTCAAATTAATTGAATTAATTACTATTCATACATAAATGCACCAGTATATAAAGAAATCTAATTGCAACACTGACTAAAAACGCAGAAATATAGCACAGCAATATTTTAAAGAAGCAAACAAAATTTTTACATTTTTCTTAAACATGATATGCCTTGAAATTGTAGCATAAAAGGCCGAATGCTTTCATCATTTCCTCTTTAGATAAAATCAGGCAGCCTATTCTGTAAATAATTTTGGTGGTCAATTCTAATTCTATTTTTTACCGAAATTTATTACTCCTTAGTCTAAATTTCCCCTTAATGATATCCAAGTACCTAAAAATATCTCATTTCTAATAGTTGAAAGGCAGTCCAAATATAACAGTCATGAATCTTTCTTCGAAACATGTTAAGGAAAGAATCAACGACGACAAGTCCCAGATGAAGAAAGGAACTCAACCAGTCGAGGATAAAAGTTCTCCTCTGTGGTCACTTGTGACATAGTGACTGATTTAATGTCCCTCTACTGACCACTTTACTCCATTCTAATTATGGCATCAGAGTAAAGTTAGTCTCAAAGAAGGCCCTCAGGAAGGGACCGATATCGCGTGTCCTGTTTCTATGGAAACGAGGAAGTTATTTAGAACTTGTTCAGTGAAGCTTAACCGACAAAATAACTGATGGAAAAGAAAGTTTTCAGCAAAAGGACTTTCTCTCCCTGCGGATAGTCGAACAAGAAATTGTTTGTTGGATGAGAAAGTGCACAATTTCGTAAAGCTGGCGCTGTTTGAAAATTAAGCCACGTCATGGATTTTGGACATAAGTTCCAAGTAAGTTCTTTTGTGAATGTTTGCATTGCAATTGACATGCCACAAGAATGTAAGACATTTGAATTAATCTAAAAGTCTAAGGAAAACAACCGCATCTTCCTTAGGTCGAATTATTATTGAATAAAGGGCATATTTAAAAGAATATTATTAAAAACATTTTGCTTCTTTATACATTTTAAAGTTTAATTAATTATTTAATTAATATTGATATTAAAATCTAAAATTGCTATTGTTTAATTTTACTTCTTAAACTACTTAATTAAATAAAGCATAAATTATAATACTATAATATATTAAATGGGTAGACTAAGTTGATCAATAAAACTAAACATAAATTTTGTTCTCTTTTGCATTTATGAAAAGTTGATTAAAATTAATTATTTTTGTTTCAATAGCTGTGAGAGTGTAATTTATTTTTTAAATTATTTATAAAATTTTGTATATTATAACATAATATATATTTTAAAATGTATGACTATTAAGATCATTAGTTTTCTTCAGTCCAAATCAATCGAAAATTTTAGAATTAATGAAAAATGCAATATAACTTGCTGGAATATTAATTTATATGTTTGCAGAGATAGCATTTATAAATATGCCGTACTCATTAATTCATTAATAAAATATACTTGTGTATTATCAAATAACAACATGCCATAAAATTCTGCGTAGAATTTTTTCCTGATAGTAGTTATATGTTTTGTCAAATACACTGGTAAAAGAACAAAATATATAAATAAAATCAGAAACGTGATTTATGTTAGTCAACTCAGCCTTAACAATGAATGAAAATTTCAGATTAGCATACATTTACCATCTTTCCTTACAGTACGAATGAATAATCGACTAAACACAACTTTATTTTTATTTTAACTTTATTTATGAAATTTTAAAGTATTTTAGGTTTTCCACATATATTTCCGTTAGCTTTAAAAATAATTAAATCAAAATTAATTAATTTAAATTTCGTCTCATTTTGCATTTCGCAAATAAATTTCGTCTCGTTTTGTAATTAGATTTAAATAAATTATTATCAACAATTTCTATTCTGCCATCGTTTTTATTATATCATCCTTTAATTTGAACTATATGAACCTTTAATTTTAGTTTAAAAACTTTAATATCAACAATACTGCAAGAGATATTTTAAAATAAATTATTATCAACAAGTTCTATACTACTGTTATTATCAAGTTTTATACTACCATCGTTTTCATGATATAACCCTTATATGAATTTCTAATTTAATTTAAAAACCCGGAATATCAATAATACTGCAAGTTAATAGTATTATTCATTTACATTATTAAATTTGAGCTGTTCAGTTTCTTTTACAATGATTCTTCTAGAAATTAATAGCAAAGAAGCTGATCGTTAAATAACCCCATAGTTGAAGTGGCATAACAATATGTGATAGTAAATTTGTAATGCTCTCAGTGCCATTGAATTTATTGCATATATCTGAAATTTATTGTGCCGATTCAGCTTTTTTTTGCCTTGAATGCGTTGAATCACAGGTCATTTTACCGCTTGCTTTTTTTTTGGTTTTCAGCGTTTTTTATTCTACATCATTTTCGTGCAAGTAGCGGAACGACTAAATTTTTATAGTTTTCTTGATTTAAATTTTCATCCCAATTATTCACGTTAACGCATGTTAAATTGAGTCATTTTTGCAAAATATATCTAAGTAGAAACATATTGCGTAGTATTATCTTTAGAAGGACGTAAGGCAAATAAAAGAAATTACCACCTTCCTCTTCCTTTTCATTTTTATTCATCATTTAGCACTGGTCTCATTTCTTCAGAATTATTTAATAATACTGAATGTTTGGGTGAAATTTGTCATTATTAAATAGTCTATGTTATGTATAAATTAAAGAAATAAGAAAGATTTGAATGAAAATTGTCTTCCAAAAATTCATATATTGCATGAGATATTTTAATCCTTTTTATCCATTAAGATTGTTTTTAAAGAGACAAACAAAAATTTAACCAACTACTAGGTAGACACTTTTACGGGATACATTTCACAACAGCAGTGAAATATAAAAATATAAAGGATGTAAATAAATTATATAAGACACAAACAGAATACCCAAAGATCCGTTAATAAGATTCAAAATATTTATGTAAATAGATAGTTTATATCATATCTTTTTGATTGATTTAACTTGAAACTTTCGTCGTAATGGTATTTAGTGTATTAGAAATCAGTTCGTATATGTGATGTATGTGATAAACATGCTATACCTCTTATTGTGTGTGTTTTGCCCAGTGGCCGGCACAAGTTTTCATAGACGTTCGTCCCTACTAAGACCGGAAGCGGTAGTCTCTTTATTATGGAAGCACTTAATAGGTGGACCACCTATGCCTCTTATGAAGAAACGGACAGTTACAACCTTGCCCTCTCTGGGATTGGAACCCAGCAGTATGGTATCGCAGTCGGTCTTCCCTAACTACTGTACCATCTGGGCAGCAGATATAACTTAGATAACAGCAGATATAACTTATCGTTGCAAAATATTCTATTCAAATATTATCAGATATTTTTTCGTTAAAAATCAAATAAGCTTATTTAGCAGAGTTGAAATCTGCTTTTACGAAAGGTTCAGGCAGTAGAAAGAAGATACAGTTCGTTTAGAGAAACAACCATGAAAACTAATTTTGCTATAATGCATGTGGTTCTTTTGTATTTGAAATCTTAAACTGAAATTGTAAGATTTATCTTATTATATTTATTATTTAGCAGTATTATTTAGCAGTATTATTATTTAGCAGTATGTAAACTATAATGCAAATAATCTTGTAAATGATATGTGACATCAACCTCTAGTCATTAAGATCTAGATGCTGCAATGTGCTCATTTAGTGCATAATTTATTTGCTTTAATACATATAAACTTTAAAAAATTAGCAAAGAAATAAAAACATTACCATAACTTCGCAAACCGTAAGAGCACCCCTTTTAAATGTATCAAACCCTCATGGAGTTATGTTACGTTTTTATCTCAAATCAATGGATGAAATAAAACATATTTAATGCGTTAATTGTTTCCAAATTATATAATGCATTAAATTACATTATTAGAGTGAGATAAGGTGTGTTTATTTTAAATTCAATATAAGAATTATTTCAATATACTTATATATATTTTACATCAGTTTGTAGGAAATATTTTTATCATAAAATAAAGACAGAAAATTATGTATTTTGCATAGTAAATTATTAAACGTAATCAGCTTTCTACAGAAATGCGATAAACTTCTTTCCGGAAAGTTTTGCGTTGAGAAAGAATTTATATTGCAATGGAAATCAATTACGCAATATTTAGATGTCCGACGCCGAAGTATTTTATATCTCGGGGGCCAAATCCATTGAAATCACTCGACGCAAGAGATTAATCAGTTTTTATGGTGATTGAAAACGATTAAAATAAAGTGCAGCCATGCACATATCGTTACTCTAAGGATATCTTTCCTGGATCAAAGCCTTGAGCAACTGAATTAAATTAAAAAATCACTACGCAGTACTTCCGAGGAAATAACGAATAATTGGACTCAACGATACTAAGAGCTTTCAAATAGGACGAATTAGAAATAGTTTCCACTTCATTCTTATCAGTTGTTCTATATAGAACTTGAAATACCTTAATATGTATTTGTAATTCTTTAATTCATTCTCTTCATGAGTTCTTTTCTTTTCTTTTTTCTTTTTTCATTTTAGTCTACAATTATTATCGACAATCTGGAATCATTTCTATTCTGTGTAGCAATTTATATAAAACCTTGGGCATTTTCTAAACTAAACTAAGACTCAATTAAACCTGCTAGGCTGAATGTTGTGTTTGGCAAATGATTGTCCATATGGAATCTTATCTACTCCAAAATTATTAGTTAAAACGTATGTAGATAAAATCCAACTGAACGATTAATAAGAGCTGTAACTCGAAGATAACAGCTAACACTCTCTGCACCTTTTATGATTGATATTTTCTTGTTCCCTCTCTCATGTATAAAGAAAATATAAGCTAAATTCCTTTAGAAAGTTATCCTCAAATGCAGTCTTATTAGATAGTTCTTCTGCGCTTTCATAACAAGCTAATATGCAGACACGTTGCTTTCAGGTTCTCTAATGTTGTCAAATTCAGATAATCATGCTTTCACTCAAAAATCTTGCGTTCTTTATTTGATTATGAAATATTTATTAAATGTTACTTAAAACATATACTTAATTTGGTGTTAGCTGCATAATAATTTGCATGCAGTATAATTGATTGATTTAAAAACAATAGTAGAAAAAAAATAAATTCAAAATCTTACACTAACAACTAAAGACTTCTAACAAAAGAAAATACAAATCATATTTTAATTTTCGAATTTTAATTGTTGATCGCAGTAAAAATAAGCATTTAAAAGCCATAATCTTCTTCGATTCGCATTCATAGTAATAGAAATCTCCTCAGAACTTTTTTTTTTAATTTTCCGTTAGACGTTTTACTTGCCAGTATTTAGTATTGAGATATTTGATGTGTAAACAGAAAATTTGGATTCACAGCAATTTTTATTGCAACTGAGAAATCAGATATAATTATATCAGTTAATTCAAGAGTTATACCACATGGGGTACCAAACCTATTTCTTTTAAATTTTGAAATAATTTTCATTTATTGGAATTTTATACTAAGTGTTCTGTGGAGTTTGCAGCAACGGTAAGCTATGCATAACGTAAGTACGAGAATACTTTCTAGTATTTCTGTAAGGTTTTACTTTATTTAGTTGACTTTCTAAGACGTTTTGGTTACATCAGAACTGAAAGCGAATGTTTAATTACAGTTGCTTTAACAAATGCTGCACTAACTAAGCTGTCGAATTTCCTTACTTCATTTTTACGTACTCTTCTGATTTGTAGCATAAAGTCGGTTTTTGATTTTGCTTATCAGGTGTTTCGCCCTTAGACACTACGCGGAAAGGGAGGTGTGCCCCGTGAAGTCCTTTTTAAG